GATTCTATGAATTTGGGGGAAAATAGTGCTTGAAGATGGGGGGTGGTAAAGTGAGCAGGCTGGCTACAGTCCCTTCTGTTCCTCAAACCAAGAGCTAAAGTAATCACTTTCTCTCTAGTTCATGTTTTAAAAGTTTTCTTTGTTCACATTAGCCATGGAGAGTTACATTTTGCAGCATGATGTCTGCAGCTCTCTAGTATGCTAACTCCAAAGCTCATGTGAGAGATAGATAGAAGTAAATGTTCTGTGTGCACTACATGCCTGATGTACAGCTGGATGTGGTGGGGGCCAGGCTGTAGGTTCAGTTTAACATCTGGGATCACGTTGTGAGGTCTGTGGCAACTGTTGTTGGAGCAGGTTCAGAGGATGCCACAACAATGATGTGAGGGCTGGAACCCCTCTGCTGGGAGGCCACCAGGAGAGAGTTGGGCTTGGGCAGCCTGGAGAGGAGAAGGCTCCAGGGAGACCTTCTTTCAGTAGTTGAAGGGGCCTGTCAGAAAGCTGGGGACAGACTTTTGAGCAAGCCCTGTTGGGACAGGACAAGGGGGGATGGTTTGAAACTCAAAGAGGGAGATTGAGACTAGAGAGAAGGAAGAAATTGTTGATGCTGAGGGTGTTGAGCCCCTGGCCCAGGCTGCCCAGAGAGGTGGTCGCTGCCCCATCCCTGGAACCATCCCAGGGGAGGTTGGAGGTGTCTCTGAGCACCCTGCTCTAGCTGCAGATGTCCCTGCTCCCTGCAGGGGGGTGGGACTGGGTGACCTTGCAAGGCCCCTTCCCACCCAACCCAGTCTGTGATTCAGTGTATACACAGTGGTCTCAGCTGCCACGCTTCCCCAGGGCTAAAGAAAGAGCCAGGCACCCACCTGGACTCACCCCCACCCTGAGAGAGCCCCCGGGCCCTTCTCTCCCCAGCGACTACGAGTACCTGCGCGAGCACTTCCGCGAGAAGCATTTCCTCTGCGAGGAGGGCCGGTGCAGCAGCGAGCAGTTCACCCACGCCTTCCGCACCGAGATCGACTACAAGGCCCACAAGACTGCCTGCCACAGCAAGAGCAGGGCAGAGGCCAGGCAGAACAGGCACATCGACCTGCAGTTCAGCTACGCCCCCCGGCACCAGCGCAGGAACGAGGGTGAGCGGGGCTGGGCGCGGGGGTGCGCGGAAACGTGTTCGGTCCTGTCCCTTGGAGGGATTTCCAGGGACATCTGGTGAATGTTTCCTAGCCTGGAAGAAATCCTGAATGGAGAGGGTGGGTGAGCCCTGGAATGGGACCCCAGGAGGGTGTAGTGCCTGTAGTGCCTGTCCTTGAAGATGAGGACTAGGTGCCCTTTAAAGGGCCCTCCTGACCCACTGCACCCTGTGGTTCTGTGATGACCAGACAGGGCTCTGGGCATCCTCGTGTAGTTTGAGCATTGGCTTTGCTCGAGTGAGGGATGGAGCAGATGACATCCAGAGGTCTTCTCCTACCTGAAGTGTTTGGCATTGTTTGCCCCTGCTCTGTGTGTATTTATTGGTAATATATCATTTTAGGGAAAATTGCTGACTTCCTGCTCCTGGTTGTCATTACCTGAACTATCTGCATTGCAGTTGATACAACATAGTGATGACCATGGAGTAGCATGTCCACTTGGGAGCACAGGGATCAATGTACATGTGAACTTCTGTTCTTCATAGAACTGTTATGTAGAGAGACCTCTGTGTGAAACCAAAACTACTCAGAATTCCTGTCACAGGTTCACACATGGAATCCATGCACCATGAGATGTATTCTGCTGTAGCGATCCTTAAGGTTACACAGACTCATCAGCAGAAAGAAATCCAGATGGGTTTGTTTGTGCTGCTGTGTTTTCTGTAAATCAGATAATTTTGAGAGTGATGAGCATCCCTGCTGTTCAGGTGTTATTGGTGGTGAGGACTATGAAGAAGTGGACAGGTACAACAGGCAGGGGAGGTCGGGCAGATTGGGCGGCCGAGGGAGTCAGCAGAACAGAAGAGGCAGCTGGAGGTACAAGAGGTGAGTAGCACAACATTTTGTGGACTTTTGTTGCTGCTTAGTCGTAGTTTTTACCTGCAAATTAATGGTGTACCAGTAGGAAGGCAGCGGGTACAAAATTTGGAAGCCTCTGTAGTGAATACTTGAGGAGCTTTCAGTCCAAGCCTCTGTGCTGACTACATGCTTGGTCAAATTGAACTTACTCTGTGTGAAATTTCAGCTCTCTGGAGTTGACACAGGAAGCAAATGATCTAGTCTTCAATTTGTGGGTTAAATAAACTCAGAATCCTGAATGAATTTCAGCAACTGTTCCTATGTGAACTTTTCTAAGTAGGGTTTTGTGAAGTGAGAAGCATTTGCAGGTTAAATGGACTTTTTGGTCTGGGTAATCCTGAAGTTCCTGTTCTAAGGACCATGCTTTTCATTGAACTAACAGATCTCTGTGTGGCCAGACTGAGTGCTTTGGAAAAAGAAGAGGGTTAAGTATTGACATGAAACTTTGCATTTATATGTCTCTCCATCCACACAAGACCCGAGTGCTTTATACATACTGCACATCTGTTTTTCTTCTTTTTCTTGCTGGACAGTCAGCTGGTTCATTACTGGTGATTTCACTGGGGGAAAAAAGTCCATCTTGAAACACTTCCTCTGTTGGTGTCGCATGTGGATCGTGCATGTGTTGAGAGTTCATGACAAACCATGTTTCAAAGAATTAGCGTGGCCTACGAGTATGATTTCATACATTTGAACACAAAGGGGAGAGACAAGTGTCCCCCGTGCATCCCTGTACTGCCTCTCCCAGTTCACTCCAGTTTCTTCTGGCCTGGATTGTGACTACCACACGTAGAACGTGCAGATCCAGGGGGTGAATGTTGCCTGTGCCATCAGCCGGTGCCAGGGCGGATTGGAGGGTGGCTTTGGTGGGGCCTTCTCAGCAGGTGGCAGCACAGGATCAGGGACAGTCATCGGAGCTGGCACCCGAGAGGTGGGAGCTGGCGTGAGGTGAAGCTGCTCTGTAACCCTGACTGTGTGACCAAGAAACTCTGCCCTGTCCTGCAGGGAGGAGGAGGACAGGGACGTGGCGGCGGCGGTCAGGGCCTCTGTGGCAGCTAAACGGCAGGAGGAGAAGAAGCGAGCGGAAGACAAGGAGGAGAGCAGGGGTAGGAAGGAGGACCTGAGGGATCCTGACCCCCTCGGCTCCAAACGTGTGCCAAAGGCTTCAGGTGGTGCTGTGGGTGAGTGCTGGGCACGCTGTGCAGCTGCAGGGGGGTGTGGTGGGTGTGGAGGTGGGCCTGGCAGAAGTGGGAAGCCCCATGAGAGCGATTACACGGTCTGGTTATGACCTGAGAGCTGCCCAGAGCTCTGTTTGGTCCCTGGGTATGGCCCAGCTGGGATGCCAGGCAGGGTTCCAGGCTCAGCTTTGCCTGCAGGCCTGTCAAAAAGCTGGTGGACATCCTGTGCAGGCAGTGGAGTGCTGACCTCTGGTAGGAGCGTGGAGCAGACACCTCCATCTCGGGAGGGTTCCCTCACAAAGCAGTTCCCATGCAGTGCTCTGCTCACGTTGAGGGTGATGAGTTCATTTCCCATGTGCTGCAGCCAGGACACGATGACATAATGGTGACTGCAGATAACTGAGGGAACAGTGATGCAGGGACTTCAACTGTCCTTTTGGAATGTCAGAGCTGACATCACCAGCTGCTGAAAATAGGACTTCTTAATGCTGCTGCCATGTTCATTGATGGCTCCCACTCTGAAATGAATGGATTTTAGTTGAAAACTGTTTCTTTGCTCTTTTTGTCAACACTCCAAAAGAAGCAGCTGCAAATGGTGCTTTGAGCCAAGATGACTTTCCAGCCATTGGTTCGGTGGTGGGACCTCCCCAAGGGTAAGTTTGTGCCAGGCTGCAGCAGTGAGGGAGCAGAGGGGTCCCTCGTGCCACCCTGAGCGGTGGCGTGAGGAGGCGCAGAGGGGCGTGGGGCTCGTCGTGCCGGGGGGAGCTCTGCTGCCTCTGCAGCCCCAGGTAACAGGATCTGCTTTTCCTCCCTCAGCTCTGCCCAGCTAGCAGCAGTGAAGCTTAAAGAAGAGGATTTCCCAAGCTTGTCCTCCTCTGCAGCACCTGCCATTTCTGCCGGGATGCCTCTGACATACACAGCGACGGCAAAGAAAGCGACTTTCCAAGAGGAGGATTTCCCAGCTCTGGTGTCCAAAATGAGACCCAACAACAAAACAGTAACTCACATCACATCTGCCTGGAACAACGGTTCCAGTAAAAACGTGGTCAAAGCCATGAGCAACCCCTGTGTGAACCAGATGGCCAAAAAACCACCCTCCTTGAACAGCACTAAGGGAAGTAAGAAGAGCAATAAACTCTCTCAGTCAGATGATGAAGACGGCGGGAGCGGCTTGACGACCCAGGAGATCAGAAACACACCAACGATGTTTGAGGTGTCCTCCTTGCTGGCAGTTTCTACCTCACAAACTTTTACAAAGGTGAGCAGGAAAAAGAAGATGGGGGCTGAGAAGCAGAGAGCATCATCCCCACACCTCTCACAGGAGACATCGTTTCCCAGGTCATCGGCCGAGAAGCTGCCGGAAGCAGAGCGGACATCAAGCACATCTCCTGCTCTCCACGGCCCTGACAGGTCCACTGCTGTCCTGAATGGTCACTTGGAAAAACCATTAGCCACCTGTAGTACACCCAAAGAGCCCCCCGGCCTTAAAAAGCCCACAGTGACTAACAAATGCCCCTTACCTCAGGAAGACTTCCCAGCTCTTGGGAGCTCAGGGTCTGCTCGGATGCCCCCACCACCAGGTGAGTGCTACAGGGCACGGCCAGCTTGGCTTGGAGGTCTCTTAGAGGAAGATGGGTGACGTGTATCAACTGCTAACCCCTGCTGGGGTAGGTGCTGAGCTTTAAAACCAGTCTGGGTGACACGGGTGGGCTCGAGGGTCCTCTGTAAGTGGTGGTGGAAGCGATGGCCCTGCTGGGACACGTCTGCTCCGTGCCCCTGTGGGTGTCTCAGGGGTGAGCAGCCTGACTTTCCCTGCTGCACCTCCCACCCTGGGACTTCAGGAGCCATTTCCCTTTGCTTTGATAACGTAAAAGTGCTTTTCAGTGTGAGGGTGAGGGGGTTTTAAAGCTATTTTCCACTGACAAAGTAACTGAACAGTTAGGGAAACATCAGCTGCTGTGAAGTGCTGCTTGACCTGTTCAGGCAACAGGTTTCCAGCTCTCTATTTTTTTTCCAGTATCATGATGTCTGTGCTGCTGACTCTTACTTGGTGCTCCTGGGGAGTACGTCAGAGCGCTGGAGTTAGGTTTAGGTGGTGGTACGTGGGTGCTGCAGATCCCAGCTCTGAGTTCCTGCCTGTCTCTTGCCTTCTCCAGGCTTTAACACCGTGGTGCTATTGAAGAGTCCTCCTCCGCCCCCGGGGCTGTCGGTGCCTGTCAGCAAACCCCCACCAGGCTTTGCTGTCATCCCATCCACCAAGGGCTCTGAACCTGTCACTACAGCTTTGAAGGAGTAAGTAAAAGGCCTTGGAGTTGGAGATGTCACGTGTGAAGGATCTCAGTTGTGTCCTAAGGGCCTCAAACAACCCATGAAACACCCTGGGGGGATTATTCCATCGGGTGCCACCGCTGAGGCCACCAACCCCACGAGTCCCGTGGCCACTGTGGGCTGGGCTCAGGAGAGGGGTGAAACAAAGCCCAAGCATCGTGTGGATGCGGGGCCGAGGGGCTGAAGAGCTGTGTGCTGTGGCAGCTCAGACCTCTGGCTTTTCTGGTTTTGTTTGGAAATCTGCAGCTTCCACCTCTTTCTTAACCTTCCCGTTGAGTCTGTGTGAGCCAGAAGCGTGTTTTCCTCGGTGACCTCTAAACACCTTCACTGTTCTGAGCTCTGTCCAGGGCCTTCCTGGGTTAGAGAGATGAGTTGAGGGGAAAAGAGGAGAGGAAGATTTGTGTAGGTTGAATGCAGACACCTCTATGAATCTCTTGGGTTTTATTCATGGTGCAGTCTTTGTTCTGCAGGTCTTTTTAGTGAGCCCAGCTTAGAAAACAGCCACTCCAGGCTTTGTTAAACTTGGGATTTTAAAGATTCTGTCTAGGTGAAGCTGGACTGTGTGATCCCACAGGGCACCTTCCGTCGTCCTGGGGGTACTCGTGGTGACTCCACGTGGCTGGGTGGAGGAGGGGGTGAGGAGCACGGCCCGCAGCGCGTGTCACACGCAGCCGTGTCAGAGTCACTGTTGTCTTCTCAAACACAGGCCAAAATCCTGTCACGGGTCGTACTTGATACCTGAAAACTTCCAGCAGAGGAACATTCAGCTGATCCAGTCCATCAAAGAATTCCTGCAAAGCGATGAGTCCAAATTCAATAAATTCAAAACTCATTCTGGGCAGTTCAGACAGGTGAGTGGGCAAGAGCCCTGCGGGTTGGAACTGGATGATCTTTTAGGTCCCTTCCAACACACAGCAGCCTAGGATTCTGTGAACCTTCAGATTCCTAAAACCACCTTCCCTGGGAGAAAGTGAATCCCAGGGGGATTTTTTTTTTTACATGTATTTTTTTTATCCTAATTCCCATTCTCTTTCCACCGAAGGGTCTGATCTCTGCAGCACAGTACTACAAAAGCTGCCGAGAACTGCTTGGAGAGAACTTCAAGAAAATCTTCAGTGAGTTGTTGGTGTTGCTGCCGGACACAGTTAAGCAACAAGAACTGCTCTCTGCTCACAACGATTTCCGAATCAAAGAGAAACAGAGCTCAAACAAACCCAAAAAGAACAAAAAGAATGTTTGGCAGACGGACTCCAACTCCGATCTCGACTGCTACATCTGCCCAACGTGTAAGCAAGTGCTGACTCAGCAGGACGTTGTCACCCACAAAGCTTTGCATCTGGAGGACGAGGAGTTCCCCTCCTTGCAAGCCATCAGCAGAATCATCAGTTAGCTCTCCCCAGAACCCAATAAAACCCGCTCTGTCTCTGAGCATGCACTTTTTGGGTGAGGTTTGGGGGGGCGGCGTGGCTCGGAGCCGGCGCCGGGTGTGTGGTCAGAGGGGGGTGGCTGCTGGGGAGCCCTCGGTGCCACTGAGAAACACTGTGCAAGGGGCTCCTGGGACCGCCCCCCGGCGAGGGGACATCCAAAGGCTGAGCTGCTGAAACGCCCGAGTAGAATTAGGCTGAAGTGGGGGGGACAGGGGACAGGCAGGGGCCACCTTTCCTCTGTAACATGCAATAGCTGCGACAGTACTTGCAGATCTGAAGCCTCACGGGGAACACGATAGGGGGATAAGCATCTGGTGTGGGGTTTTTTTCTTTCTGTTTTTCAAGGGGATGGGGGAAGATTATGAATCACTGAAATGACCGGGAGCAAAAGCAGCTTCCTTTATAATATTCTGATTTATTTTTTGTGCTGTTTCTGTGACCACGAAAGTCACGGTAGTCAGGGGTATAGAGGTGCAGAAAAGAAGCTCCTCCCTGGGGAGCCAGACCGTTAGAGCCACATGTCTGTGATCGTGGGGCTGCTCACACAGCAAAGAGAATTCCAGGCTGAACACAAAAACTAATTCTGCTACTTGAAGGATGGGACTGATCCGTGTGATGAGTTGAACGTAAGATTTGAAGTTGCCTCTGACTTTTTCTGTAACGTGTTCTTGAAAGAAACTTATTTTGTAGCACTGCATGTAGAATACCCTGAAGGCTTTACCGCCCGTGAAGATCACTTCACCGTAATTTTATTTAATGACTGCCATGGTTTCTAATTTTCTTGGATGTACTGGTGGTGGTAGCTCCAAACAACAGCCTGTTGGGACATTAAATGCTGCTGCTCCCTGACCGCGTTTCCCTGCAGTGCCTTCCCTGCCTCTCTCTGTTTACAGCGGTCTGTGCTCACAGGGGTCACTTGTTCAGAGCCTGCTCCTCGCTCTGTTGCTCGGCATCTCCAAATTCCACCTTGGAGGCAAGATCTGTAAAACCTGCTCCTGTTTGAAGTGGCTCCTTCAGCAGCAGCTGGGAGGGGGCAGGGGCTGAGTCCTCCCCGTGGTGCATTTCCGTGGCCACGTCTGAGCCGCTCCCACCCTGGCAGACCAGGTTTAGTTATTTTTAACAGATAGGAATAAAGTTGGAATTAATTTATGTAATTTTCAGTGACAAAACACTGCTTTTGTATAAGCATCGTTTCTACGAAATTGAGCTCAAGAGTATTGTATTCCTGAAGAGCTGCTCCTGGCTACACAGTTTTCCTTGCCTTACACTGTAGATTTTCGCTTGCTGTCAGGCTGCAAAGTGCTTTGAGTTTCTTTTCTGGATGATTACGACTGTTCTGAGTACCTGAAGGGGTTGTATTCAGCACAGGGGCCAGGCCCCACACCCCAAAACGGGGCTGGGGAGGATGATTTGGCTGCATGGCTGTTTATGGATCGCATGAACACGTGACAAGCCTGAAATGCTTCCGTGTCCCTGCCTCGAGCGGGGTCTGTGGTGCCCGTGGCACCACCCACGGCAGCTGCCCCACCAGCCCTCAGCCCTTCAGCTGTGCCATCGGCTCTGGCCCCTGGGCCTGCTGCTGAGGGGAGATGAAACTCGTGTTCCCTTGATGGAGCATCTCAGTCTTCCCTGGACCCTCCAGTCCTTGTGTCCTCAGCTCCCTCGTTCCCAGCGGGCGGGTGCTGCTCTGAGTTTCCTCCAGGTGATCCATCCCTCTGGCCTGATGATGCAGTTTCCTTGTTCCTTGTGCTCACCTGATTAAATAAAAGTTATCACCAAATTTGCTTCAGGCCCCTTTTCATTCCTTTTTAACTCTTTATTGAAAATCAGTTGCGGTTGGTACACGGACACTGAAAATACATCATCACGGGTGGTTCTCTCAAAAGATATTTTTATATATATATATATATAATATATACAAAAAAGTTGTAAACATTTTTTAACGTATTTCCATACACAGTCCACTTCACACGACGACGCACGTAAGCCCCGAGACAACCGCAACTCTTGGAAGCAGGCTGCTTGTACAGAGGTATCTGCAAAAAAACTTAAATTTGGTTTCAGGTTGATCGTCAAACTCGTAAAGAATCTGAAGTTTCGTATGTGTATTGCAACGAAAGACAGGCAGCTCTCCACTGGGGCTTCGAGGGGATAGAGGGAAGGCTGTTTCTCAGCCCCCGCTGGTGGTGGGACAGTTTTCTGCCACACGCAGCTTCCTGGTGATGTGGAAAAGCACTGAGGGAATCGACCAGAGCAGGACCAGACCCTGGGCAAGCAACGGCTGAAGGGAAATCTGCAGCTATCTACAGTGGCTTTAATGAGAGCAGCACGGATCCCACCCAGGCAGGGATGGGAGCTGGGAACAGGCGCTGGCCGCGGCGAGCTCGGTTCTGCTCAGGTGCCCCAGCCCAGCCCTCCAGCCCTGCCTGGCTTGGGGGCTGGTTACAGAGAGAGATGGGCACGAAGGAGCCCTGGGAGGAGCTGCTGGGCGACAGAAAGGGGGAAGAAATGCCTCAGCTGGCACTTGCTGCTGTGAACTAGTTGGACAAAGTGTCCAGGCAGATGAGGCTGTGGGATCCCAACTGCTTTAGGTGTCACCTGAAGGGAAGGGGCTGCTCGAACTGCACGAGCTACAGGAGCACGTCATGGAGGGAGATCTTGGCATCAATTCAGCAAAACTTCCCCCTCAGCAGGA